TCCATGCTCCTCGCCCGGCCCCCGCTGTTCAGCGTTGGGCTCCGTGAGGATTTCAGCAGCTTCTCCTCGAGCTCGTGCAGCGACGGCTCCTTGTACATGCAGACTGGGGAGGGGGGGGAGAAGAACAACTTTATTAACACCTGCTGTTCTACTAACACACCAATCACAATACAAACCACAGAAAACAGTGGTACTGCGTATCAGTATATCAAGTCTAACAGATTAATAAGCACTGATGTTATGTAAAGATGATCTTTATACAGGTGTGTGAGTTACTAATATTTAATGAAACCACTGCCCCATCATCTTATTTATGTGTTCAACATATAACTTAGATATGTATTTTGCTCAGTGCCTGTTTCAGCTGCATTAAATAAATAAATCAGTGACACAAACGTGTGTATGTAAGATAAAGCAGTGAGACGTGGCCAGGTTTAAGTTGAAGGACGAGGAGGAGGATGCACAGAGCCACAGGAGAAAGGGGAAGGTGACAGTTGGCGGATATTTTTAAATGGGTGAGGAGGGGGGAGCAGAGGGGGCCAACCAGCAGCTGAAAGCAGAGACGGCGCTTCATGTTTCCAGTTAAACCTCCATCTGTGACACCAGAGCTTCACCTCATCCTCAGACTCACAGGAAGCCTCTGCAGGATGACTTCTACTCCTGCTTCACCTCTGGAACAAACCGTCTCACACAATCAGAGTATTCTGATTTTAAAGCAGTTTTCACACACGAACCGTGGAATCAGGTCCTGGTTTTGTCCAGTTGTCCACACAGCCAGTTTGTAATTTCTGCTATTTTGTGCTGAACATATCTGATATGAGATTTCCAGGTGAATTTGTCATCAACTATGACACCTAGAAATTTAATTTCATATACTCGTTCTATATTAGCTCCCCCAATTTTCAATTGAAGTTCATTATCTAGTCTACGATTCCCAAATACCATAAATTTAGTTTTATCCAAATTCAGAGATAGTATATTACTATCACACCATTTCTTTATCTTCTCAAGTTCCTGTGAAACCCATCCAGAGAGTTGCTGTAGGTTTTCACCCAATGCCCATATGGTAGTGTCATCAGCAAACAAAACCACTTTCACTAAATCAGAAACATTGCATATATCATTAATGTATAATATAAATAATTTAGGTCCCAAAACAGAACCCTGAGGCACTCCACATAGAATGTCCAGCTCACTCGATTGGTATTCACCCAACCTCACAAATTGACGATGTCCTGCCAGTGCATCTCTTCAGTAAAAATCACAACAGCTGACAACTTCATCTCTGACCATTTAATCTACTGCACATTTATTATATACATCTGTACTTGTTTTAATTGAAAACAGGCTTTTGTTTTTGTAGACAGGATTTTCTACGGCGTTTTTCTAGTAAAATACAGCCGTGGTGGGCGGTATTGACTAACGGAGATCTACGGTTAAAGTCGTGATTTTATTGAATTCTAGTATTTTTTGGGTGGGCGCTGTCAATGTCGAGTTTAACAGAAGACTTGTATGACGTACAAATAGTTATAGTTTTGTTATATCCTGTTGTCTACACAAGGTGGGATTAAAATTTAAATATTTTCAAATGGAGTTTGGTGCCACTACGCTTATTGCCTGCTACTAATGCGGGCTAATTTCGGCTGTGTAGGTACCACAGGCTCGTGCTTTTTAGCTCTAAATGTATTTTGAGTTTGAAGGGTTCTCTGAAATGTACCTCATGTGATTGAACCAGGTTTTTTAGAGGCAGTTTGATCCACAAAGAGAGCAGGTAAACAGTGAAAACGTTGCTGGCTCTGTTTGTTTTCCGCCAATGAAGCTGCAGCGCTGACACCCTGAATGTATTAGCTCGATAAACAGTTTTTCGGGTTTCTTTAAGCGCCAGGGTGCCACTCTGTGCTTTCACACTCCTTTTACTTGGGTAAGCACTGCTGTCTGTATGCTTACCTTTTGTGTTTTTCTTTCTAAAACTAACAAATAAAGTAAATGTCAGATGCTTCCTCACTATTTTTGACGTGTTACAATAATCTGTCGATTAATCAATAATAAAAGTAAGTGTTAGTTGCAGCCTTAGTTTGTTCACCTGTAGATTTAATGATACAGTACAGATTTGTTTCTGTGCTGCACTCCTGAAAATTGTTTTTAAAGTAAGATTGTGTTGGGTTAAAGTGCCGACTCTCGGCTTCAGTCTGAAGCTTGTGCACATGTTGCTGATTGGTTCATAAAAAAAAACAATACTTTCCCTTCTGTTCATTCTTTTTTAATCAGTTGTTGGACTAAAATTTTAGGATTTGCTGTGTCCACTTCAGTCTTAAATTCCTATCTCTCCCTCCATATTTAACTGAAGTTACTTCCTGTTAGGAAACAGGTGGGAAACAGGGAGGAGAGGAAATGATCCAGCAGTAGAGAAAGGGATGAGAAGTCCCCATTGGCCCAGGCGAACCTTCCTGGAATATTTAGACTTTATCTCACAGGGACCAGCTGTGGATAACAGATTGCACACTATCAGCATATTGACCTGTGTGGTGATAATCGGCTGCACCAACAGAACTGACTCATGATGCACCACGTGCCAGATGCATGAAACCTTGTATAGATTCACAACCGAGGCTGTGTTCATGCTACAGGCCTTAACACTCAGCTCTGGTCTTGTTGTGTTGCTGCTTCCCGTCCATGTGTGTCAGCGCCATGTACCCAGCTCCGATGTAAACACCGCTGAGCTCCTAAACTGTCACAGATGTAATTGAGCCACTTGTGCACAAGAATAACAACCAGGTTGTGTGTGCGATGGTCAAATGGCCGAGTTTCCTCCCAAACTGCTGGGTTACAATATGTTCCTCCCAGTTTGACCTTATTAGAAGCTTCTCTATAAACGTCCACCACATGTGAAACATCCTGGTCTCTCCACTGACCCCATTGCTGTCATCACTCTACTCCATGTTTATTGTTATCGGTCTGTGAGGGACAGACACCAAATGATGACGACAGGCCGTATGTGCAGAGGAGGAGACGTTAAAACGACCACATGGATTCTGATCTGACCACTCTGATGGCGGATGCAAAGTCAGAGGTCTGAGAGGAATCGGGTCTAGGAGCACATACGCTGGTGGCCTAGATCTGGTCTGAGGACATCTGGTCTGTTCTGTTCACACTGCTGTGGACTCATCAGGTCTGAGTCACTGCAGCTGTGAACACAACTTTATACTACATCAACATCTAACAAGTGTTTTCATGTGGTGTTAGTAGCGCGCTCTGTCCACAGTGAATCACCTTAACATAAACACAGTTAAATCTCTTCCTCTGCTGCTGCTTCTCCTTGGTCCTCTTTTCACTTGGCAAACAAAACATCCAGCATCTGCTGAGGAGTGTGACAGTCACCTGATAAAATTCTATTTTATGACAAAATGAACAAGAATACAGGTTCATGAGAATGAGCTGCTGTGTGATTGTGTATTTGGATGTTTAACAAGTTAGGGGAAAAAACTTTGTGCCTGTGTTCAGTCTCCTCCTGCTCACTGTGATTTAAAGCAGCTGAAGCCCCCTGACAGTTTCTCTTATTTACATCATTTCTGTTTTCATGTAAAAAGTCAAAAATACTCAGTTTATTATCATGTCTGAGGAAGGAACATGTCATACTTGCAGGCCTAGAATTCATTCAATATTTCTACTTAAAAAAAAAA